TTGAATTCCTCCTCCTGCGTCTCCTAACACACATCCCAATAACGATCGTTCCTGGGGCATCAGATGCCCCACCTGCGCCGCGGCAAGCGCGTTTTTTATGAGGCTCTCTCGCGCGAACGTTTATCTCCACACATTTTCGGTTTCTCTTCTCTTCTCTTCTCGGCTTGCTTTTATCCCCCGGAATCGAGAGTCGATGGGAAAGCGAGAGAGAGAGAGAGAGAGAAGCGGCTCCAAATGGCTAAGCGACTTCCACTTTTTGGCATCACTGACCCTCGTCCCCCTTCCTTTCTCCCCAACTTGGCCCTTCCGCGGTTTTCGAATTTCCCACAAGAATGCGAAGAAACAGCTTCTTCTTGTGTCTTTAGTCGCGGCTGATTGCTCGCTTTAGTTTACGTGTTCTTGCGTTTTTGCTGTAGGGTGGTATTTAAGAGATTCTATAGTTGAGCGAGTATTTTTAAATTTTATTTTACTATTTTATTATATAGAGTATATAATAATTATATTTTACTTGAAAAATAATTGAATTAAATTATTCGGAAAGAATAAAATGATTTTATTTTTGGAAGAAGAACTGAATTATTGAGGCAAGTTTATTTCATTTAATTACGTTTTACATCTTTGTAATTTGAATTTCAAGATTATTTTGAAGAATGTAATTTTAATTGCACTGAATACTGCCTAATAAATCATTTATTTGAAACTAATAATATTGTTTCGAATAAATATGATTTATTAGGCAGTATTGAAATAAATATTTATTAATTTAATTTTTTTTCAGCGTGTCAAAAGTATTGTTCTCGAAAGTCGAAAAGTCGAAATTTAAAAATGATCGATACCTCGATGGTTTTGCTAAGGAAAAATCAATTCCCAAGAAAATATCTAATATTAAAAAGTATATATTTCTTATACACAAATCTAAAAATATCGTTCTGATTTCTTTCAAAACACTTCAACATTCAAACATTTTTCTACACATATACACACCCTAGAAGACTACAACGCAATATATTACAATTTATAAAAAAAATGTCCGCGTTCATTTTGAACCGAGCATGCGCGACATACGTTCGGGCGCCATAAATCCCTTTGAAAGTAGCGTATCGAAATATTTATTAAAAATCACATGGACCAATCGCGGCCCGCTTTCTGCGTATCGGTTCCGTGCCATTATCCCCCGAACGAGCGGAGCACGAGCGAGCAACGAAGGATAGAAAGAGTGAAAGGGGTGGCGAGAGGGAGAGCAGTCACAAGATACGATGATGGATGCTCGCGAAGGGTTGCCGCGATCGAGTGAGGAGGAGAGGGCACGCCGAAAGGGCAAAAGGGTTCCTACGCCGTCTAACCAATCGGTTCGACGTAACTGATACGCCCGACCAATCCCGGGGGCCCGCTCGGGCCACGTGGTGGAGGGGAGGGTTGATGCGCCCTTAGCGGCGCGTTTCGTTGCGTCACGCTGACATTCGCTCCGTATCGGTCCGCCGACGAAGACCGCCGCCGCGAAAGTGACCTTTCAGCCCTAGATATCGCGCGCAGTCGAGGGAATCTAAATATTGATGAGGCGCGATTTCAATTAAAATCGAATCCGAGTCTCCCGCGTGAACGTTGATAAAGGTGAGGGACCCTTTTCGGAAGTGCGCGGATCCCTTCTTCCGTCCCGATGTCTTCCGAGGCGGGATGAGATCGCGCCGATCGATAGATCGACCTGGGATCGCGCGAGGACGAGCCGATCGTCGTGCTGGACCTCGAAAGACACCGTTGTTGTCCCGATGTAGGGACGGCGAACGGACGGGCCGAAGCTATGATGGTGTTCCTGGAGGAGCCCAGAATGATCTTCGCGGACATGCGTCTTCATGCCACCAGCACCCCGACTATCACCCCGACGCGTTACCATCATCATCGGAAATACAGGGCGCAGAATAACAACGACTGTACGATTCTTTTCTCATCAGTTCGATGAAGCTCGAGAGGACGCGTCAAAATATTCAAATATAATATATAAAATATATAATATATTTTTTAATATATGTTATATATCTTATATATAATATATAATATATTATATATATTTATATCTAATAATACCGGAATAATAATATATAATATATATATAATATATATATATATATATATATATATATATATATATATATATCTATATATAAGATATATATATAAATATAAGATATATATATATATATAGATTATATATATCTATATATATATAATATATATATATATCTCTATCTTATCTATCTATCTCTCTCTATCCTCTAATTATATAATATAATTATATATAATCTAAGATATATATAAAAAATCTAAGATCTCTCCTATTTTTTAATCTCATTAAAAAATATAAATTCTAAATATCTGAAAACGGTCGATGTATAAATATTTATAGATCCCCCCGAATCTGTTAAGCATAAGATATATATTTTTTTTATTGAGAACGTTTATTGGGATTATTTTTCATGAAACCTGTCTTGTTTGCTTGTTACAGATGCAGATTTACACGGCGATGTTGACGGCCCGGAACTCAGCGGCGATGACAGGAGTATCGCGAGTGACATCCACGATGCCACCGAAGCGCACTTCGATAACGATTCTATGGACTCGGACAAGGAGGCCCTCAACTTGGTAAATTGTCTCATTTTATTTTATTTTATATATATAGGTATCAAATATTTCAGTCAATTTTATTTTACGAGAACCTTGAGGTTTTGTTTGATTTTCAAAATTGTGCGCGACATTATTTAATATTTGGTGTAAATAATAATTCATTTATTATTAGAAGACTCAGTGTTTATAGAAACACTGTTATGTAGTCATACTGCATGTTAATGATTATTATCAGGAAACGCGCAAGAGTGATGAAAAGAGGCGCGGCTTTTAGTGCCACGGGCAAAATGTTTACGAGTATAATTCATAAATAATTTGCACGTCATCTTGCGTGCGCGAGAATACAGCTGTTTAGATAATACGCGCGAAATTAGTTGCTTCTTCTCGGTCTCGAGGCTCGTGTCAACAATTCTATTAATATCTCGGTCGACGTTCGATATATGTATAATATACGCTCTCAAAATTAATAAGGAATTTTTGCGACCAAATAAATAATCGTCACTGTTATAAATCAGAAAATAACGTATTTTAATAATAGACAGTTTTGCGTTGCAGCAACATCTCGCTTTAAGAGTACCAAATTTTTTAGATATAATTTTTGCAAATGTTAAAAATATATTTAATTTTTAATGCAATTTTTGCATAGAGGCAAAAACAATTTTTACTACAAAATATTTTTTTAAATAAATTATATTTTATGTACTCCTGTCTATAGAAAATTTTTTTTTAAATTAGTTCTAAAATTGTGCATTTTATTTATTCGGTCGTTATCGATAATTAAATGTTTTCTTGCACTTTGTAACTCGTCAATAACGTTCATAAAAATGATTTTGTCAATGATTCAACATGAATGGTATTTTCTCTACTTCTTTGACGAAATCTTGCTTTGTCATATGATGTATTATCATACTTGGCCTGTGTGCGTTGCTTAAATGTATCTCTCGAGAACGGTACCAATCTTATTTGCAAGCGTAATATCCGGTGAATGCTTTCTTTCGGGAGGAACGTCCCGGTCATGTCTTCGATTTTTTTCTTACGGGATGCTTTTTCTCTCTCTATCTCTCTCTCTCTCTCTCTTGACGGGCGTAAAAAGCACTCGCGATCAATATTTGACAAATAAATAAAGGAAGCCACTAGCGAGATGAACGACAAGAAGGGACAACGACACGTAGGGAGAGTAGGTTTTATAAAACACAAAAGAGCGCAGGATGGACCGTAGTGACCAATATCCTGACCTGGCCGAGTGTAAACACGGCTTTGTTCGACGGCGAATTTACTCTGTAATATTAGGGAGGATTGCCCTCTTCGCGTGTTCTCGGCCCTACGTTACAGTGTGAAAAGTCCGAAGCCCGCATTTCAGGAGGAAGTCTCACTTGATAATTTCAAGCGATAAACCATTCGATCATAGAACACTAAGAGTCATCAACATATCATCTCTCTAATCGTAAAGACTCATTTTTTTAACTTTAATATTGGAACATATATCTTTTTAGAGTTAATAATAAAAGTGGTCTTGAAATATTAATATCCATTCTAATTATAAATAATGTTATTTTAAATAAATTTTATAAATCAAATTATAATTATAAATATATACCTCATTTTAAATAAATTATAAAATTTATAATTTATTTATAATAAGAGTTATAATCATTATAATTATTAAATAATTTACTTGAATTTAATTTGTAATAAAATTTTTAATTATTTATAATAAAAATTCTAAGTGTATATTTCAATATTAATTATAATTGTAAATATTATTAACCCTTAATTAGTACGGTGAGATCAAATGATCCCAAGAGGTGTAAAAACTAATGTTAATTTTCTTACAGCGATTTTAGAAAAGTTATGTAATTAACAACACATTAATAAATGACTGATATGATTGATTGATGTCGTTGGAAGAGTGTATTGTTTCATTTAATCAAATAACCATAAAAATCTAATATCCCACTATTGAGAAAGTATTTTATGTTGGGGTCTCCCACGATACCAGTTAAGGGTTAATAATTATATAAAAAATGTATAATAAATTTTTTCCCTTAACGAATTTAATAATACGTAAGGGTGATTGATTGAAATGCAAATTGGATGCGATGTTGTTTTAGGTCACGGATGTCTCGCAACGGAACAGCAGTAGCGGTACCAGCGGCAGCGCGTCTCCCCCGAGTTCTGTAGTGAGCAGCCAGCTTACGGGCAACCATCAGCAAGCGCAGCAACAACACGCGTCCAGCCAGCAGAACAGCAGTAACTCGCAGGCGGCACTGGCCGCTCAATTGGTCGGCCAGCAATTGCTGATGCACGGCTCTCTCGGGACATTGAGAAGTCAAGATATCCAAGCGTTCGCTTCGACGCTGCAGCAGCAGCAACAGACGCTGCTGCAGCAACTCGCCATGTTTCAAACCAATCCGGGGCAGCTTCCTGCGCAGCTCTTTCTACAGAATCAGGTCAGTTTATGAAGCCCTTCCTTTTTTTATAGAGTTAGATGAGGGGGATAGACAAGAGGCTCTTTTATATCATATTCTTTACATGAATATAACTATCGATACGACTAGCAAGAGAACCTGACAATTTTGATGGACATTTAACACACATTAGATAGGGAGAATAAACAAATCAATTTAGACATTTTAATTGTACACGGAGAGAATTTTTTTCTCTTAGAATTTACCCTGAAAATGCATGGTAATCGTACGACAATTGGAAGAATCTTATAAGAGTTTCTCTGATTTATATTTATCACAATAAAAATATTAATCAGAGAAACTCTAAGATTCTTCCAATACCATATTGTCGCACGATTACCATGATTTTCAGGGTAAATTCTAAGAGAAAATTCTCTCTGTGTAGGAATGAAAGAATTATTTGAGCTATCAAAAAATATTTTATGACAAGAACACCTCTGTTTAATAATATTTCTTAAAAAATAATTAAAAAAACAATTTCCTTTATAAAAAAAAATTCCTACAAGCGCGTGTAAAGTTTCATCGAAATCAGAATTTTCGGAAGGGGTCTGCGTCGAGTTATCTTATCCGTTTGAATCGCGCATTACGATATTGTCGGAGCCGAATTGGAACTGAGCTTGTCGAGAAGCAGCGACAATTCGGTCCCGAGTCCTGCTATCTGATCGGCGCAGATTCGGCGAGAGTGAACGTCTTATTCTTTCGCGGACGGCATTCTCTCGCGATTCCGACGTCAAGATAGCCGCGGCACAAAGGAGACCCGGGGGATGCTGATGCCTCTCCGTTTAGGCCGATGCAAAAGCGCCAACTTACAACCGCATCGAGACTCTGCGCTTCGCGCTTCATTACGCCGCATTAAAGTCTCTTTCTGAGAGTAAGTCATCCCGGCGGATTTTCGAGTTGAAGCTTCCACGATATTATAATAAGATCTTACGTGGTTTTCTATAGATAAAAATAAAATGAAAATTTTATGAAAATAAATCATGTTGTTTGTCGCAAAAACATTTCTCCAAGAATATTCTTAATCGAAAATCGGATACGAAGATTTAGAATACTTAATGTATCATTGGAATATAAAACATGGACGACACAAGAAAACTTGGAAAACTGATAATAATTGAAGACATCCCCGGAAAAAGCGTACAAAGGAGATTTCCCGATGTTCCTCGATAAATATCACATTTCTCGAGCGTGCCTTTAAAATGCGCTTGCCGAAAAAGAAGCGACATATTTATCAGTCGTCTCTCGCAACACGCATTTCTCGGATGAAAAGAGCGTTTCACGATTTTCTTCCTATTTGTTCGTCGGATCTTTCGAATCGACAGAAGAAGAAGAAGGAGGGAATCGATCCACGATATCCGGGGATACGTTGAAAAACGATCCTGCTTCCTGGATGCTCTCTTCCCCTTCTCGATCCATACGCAGCCCCTCTCGCGAACAATTTGAATGGATCGAGCTCTGCATTTACGGGAAAAAAAATGCCTATAGAAAAATCCGTCACGACGTGCGCGTGCAACTATATAGTCTCCGGGAAAAATCAACAAAACGACTTCTGAGCTCTCCTTAGTTCGCGCTTAATGGGCAGCCGCGTTCTTCATGTATTATACATTTATTGTGCGCGCACATGTAGACGCATATTTGCGCGTAGGGCCCCGATTCTGGGTCCTAGAGGCCTTCTCTTGCTCCCTTCCTTCGCCTTTGGAAGATACCGCACGGTGCCACAAGGTGGGGCCCTTCGGCACCTTGCCACAGGGTGCCTTTTGTTACCTCACACGTGGCCAGGATGTTTCCTTTTTCTCGTCCCGCTTCTTCTTCGCCTAAGCCGATGGGAGGATTCTCTCTCCGCGCGTTTCGCTTCTCTTCTTTTTCCTTTTTTGTTCACGCGGAGCATTAAGAAAGGGCACACGACCTTCTTCTTCCTTCTTCGATCGGGGAACCGTTCCGAGAGTACAACCTGCATCATCCAACCCCTTCGCGGGCGGGTTACGTGTGCGAGCCACGTGAGGGCCTTTGTGGCTTATCTGCCGCAACAGACGTTTCATTTCTTCATTCGGAGATCACCCTTTTTCGGCTCTGATCACAGAGGGAATTTCAATTTTTTTTTTTTTTTCTAATCCGAATAATTGCGCAATTTTTGGAATTATTCTTGTGTAAATGGAATTAGTACATATCCCCATAATTTTTAATCTCTTAGAAAATAAAATACTTTTCTATGAACCTGACAATTTTGATGACACTTAACACACATTAGATAGGGAGAATAAATAAATAAGTTTGAAAATTTTAATTGTACACGAAGAGAATTTTCTCTTAGAATTTACTCGCGACAATATGATATTGGAAGAATCTTAGAAGAGTTTCTCTGATTAAATTTTACTAAGAATTTACTATGTACATATTAATATCTTTATTGTGGTAAATATTAATCAGAGAAACTCTTACAAGATTCTTCTAATACCATATTGTCGCACGATTACCATGATTTTCCAAAGAGAAAATTCTCTCCGTGTATACCTATTGCTTTTTTTATTTTATTTAATATTTATGAATTCATACTCTATTTTTGTAAATAAATATTATATAAAATGGAATAATTTGGAAAAATGTTATATGTAAAACATAATAAATATATCACTATAATTTTTAATTTCAAAATCCCGGTTACATTAAAAAAAATAAGAGTTCTATTTTTCATATATATTTTTATTCATTTAATTAATTTTATAAAATGTATACTAAATTCGCCTTATCAATTGTCATGTTTATGATGTAAAATGGTCAATATTTCTGTGAATAAATATTTGTAAGATATCCCGCGGGGGAGAGAAGATCAGTCTTGTTTAAAAGTAGATAAACGCCTTGGATGGGGTTTTAGACGATAACCTGTCGCGGTTGATCCCGCACGTGGCTCAACTCGAGGCGTTTCCGTAGGGTGTCTTCGCATAAACTAGCTGCTCGTATGCCGGCGACACGCGACCAAAACTCCGAACCCTTTTTCGATTCGTGACGCGAGCCCCTCATTCTCATAATCGAGCACCGTGTCCCTAAGGAAAGGGTGAAGATAATCGATCGGATAGATTCGACCCTTGGAATTATATATTACATACATACATTTTTTTCTTTACTCGTACCTGGTGCATCATACACGAGTCCGACACGTGGCGGCCCCCACCTTCGAACTTTCAAAACGCACGAAAACACCGAGACATTTGTCTTCATTTTTCGAGGCTGACGGGCGCAAAATTGAGACCGTAAGCGTCTAACTGTGACGTTTTTTTTTGTACTCGTAAAAGAAGCGAAAATTATCTTTAAAAACGAGTAAAAACGGAACATTAGATGACCATTATGTTGATTCTCTACCAATGGTCGTCGACGTCTTGCAGGGGCTGTTGCAGAGCGCTGGCTACCCGACAAGACCGAGTCATCCGCGCTCACAGTCCATGCAGGTACGGTCTAAAGCAGAATCCGTATCCGAGCATTATTTACCGTGAGAAAAACACGTTATACTTGAAAATCAAATTTTTCTAGAAGTGATACAGGATGTTTACTCCCTGGAAAAATCAGGGAAATGTTAGGATTTTTTTTTACTTTGTGAAAAATCTAGGAATTCCTCTCTATGAAATGTTTTTCAAAAATTGCATATTTTCTCTCTCATAATGCAAGAAGTAATTGATAATTTGAAGATTGGGTAAATTTTTTTTACATATAAAAATGCACATGAAGGGAATTTTCTATCTTTCTTATTGTGATAAATATTAATATTTTTTTATTATGGTGTAAATATTAATCAGAGAAACTAATAAAATTCTTCTCTAATACTGACCATATTGTCTCATAATTACCGATTTTCAAGGTAAATTCTAAGAGAAAATTTTCTCTGTGCATTTATTATTAAATTATGTATAAATAGGCTGTATTCAATTTTTAATGGACTTAAGAGTAATATTTTAAGGCCTTGTATTAAATATTTTTAATAGCACTTAAGAAACATATCTTTGCTACAAGTTTTTATTAAAATCTCTTTACTGACATTTTTTTAAATATCTAGGTCTTATATAAGTTTCAGAGCAAATTGTTCAATTCTTTAAGAATACTTAAATAAGTTAGTGCTAAATGTTAGGAAAAGTCTCGGATACGTACTCTAATTTGCATGTTTAAAAATTTGCATATAATTCGCGAGCGAGATCCTAGTTACTTGATTTCGAACGTTTTTATATTTTTAATTTATATTTTGAGATAAGAATCTGAAAATACTGTCAGGTCCAACAGGCGGTAGCTCAAGCAGCGCAGCAGTTACAGACTCTGCAGAAACAGCAAGCCCTTCAGAACAGCGGCAGTTTGGTCGGGCGAAATTTACCCCAAAGATCACCACCACCTAGCACACCGCCAGCAGTAAAACCGGTGAAGTTAGAACCTTCACCGGAGGAGACGACGGATCTCGAGGAACTGGAACAGTTCGCCAAAACGTTCAAGCAGAGGCGGATCAAGCTCGGCTTCACCCAAGGAGACGTCGGACTCGCGATGGGCAAACTCTACGGCAACGATTTTTCGCAAACTACCATCTCCAGGTAGAGACATATATTCTTCATTTGAATCACGATTAAACAAATCGTAAACATTCTAAAAATATTTGGAACGTTTCTGAATATTTCTGAATTTTTCAATTTTTGATGATTTTTCGTATGATTATTGGTTGAATTTTATATATGTATATATAGAAATAATTTACTTATAATATTTAGTAGATATAATAAAATATTATAAATATTATAATAAAAATTAAAATATAAATAATACAATATTTATAATAAAATATTTATTTATATATTTATAATATTTTTGTATAATTTGTACATAATAAGAAATAAAATAATTTTTAATTAATCGAACAAGTTGAAATGAAATAAAATCTCTGCATTTCAGGTTCGAAGCGTTGAATCTTTCCTTCAAAAATATGTGCAAGTTGAAACCGCTACTACAAAAGTGGCTGGAGGACGCCGATAATTCCTTGAACAATCCCAATTCACTATCGAATCCACTTACGACACCGGAAGCAATCGGCAGACGGCGGAAGAAAAGGACGTCTATAGAGACCAGCGTGAGGGTGGCTCTGGAGAAGGCTTTTATTCAAAATCCAAAGCCTACGTCCGAAGAAATAACTATATTAGCGGATAGTCTCGCGATGGAAAAGGAAGTGGTTCGCGTCTGGTTCTGCAACAGGTAAACCTCCCCCTGAAGATGTTAATTAGACTTCATAGATTTCTGATTTTCGGCCTTCATTCTCTTCATAGAAGCACCTTATGTTGTAATCTGCGTTTCAGAAGGCAAAAGGAGAAGAGAATCAACCCACCAACGGCTGCGATGGGCAGCCCGACGATGACGTCACCCGCGCCTTCGGTGTTCGCCTCTATCGCTAGTTCCATGTCCGGCAGCCCTTTAGCTCTAACGACGCATTCCTCGGGTATGGGACACCCTCATCCAGCGTCTATGAACTCGCCCTTGCCGCTGGCCTTGGTCTCGACAGGTGGCAACTACCATCAGCTGAACAGCAAGTCTCACGAGTGACACCAGCAAGCGACCCATCAAGGGGACGCTCTCTATCACCAGCATCATCATCAACAGCACTCGCAACAGCAGCAGCATCATCACCATCAGCAACAGCAACGACGCTTGTGCAATTTACCGGAGTTCTATCATTAGCCGATAATCTAATTTTTTAAAATTAGTAATGAGAATGATAACCTTTTGGACCTTCTTATTCTTTTATTCGACATCGAGTGAGAGAATCTATTCTTCATTATTTCTCTCTTCAGTTCTTATTCATATTCGAATAATGGATCGAAGGAGAAATCGAGAATATAATAAATCAATTATCTCGGTGAACACAAAGAATATGAAAGTACCGATTGTGTTTCAAATCGACGAGGTCACAAGTCATCGATGATGACACTGGAGAATCATCGATAATCGCGATCTTGGTGATATCGGTTAAATTTCGGTAGTAATGCGAGAAGTATAAAGAGTCCATACGAAGAAACCATAAAGAGAATTCGAAATAGGTAATCAGTTTCGCAGGAAACGACTGAGTGTATAAGCGAGAATGTTAACGAGGATGCAAGTGTGCGAAAGTGAGAGTTGTGCGATATATAATAAGGGAGAGAATGTGTAAAATCCATGTTGTCATTAAGTAATCCCGGGATTGTTATATAAGTATCTACTAAAAAGTATACGAAGACACGCTGCGTTTTGAATGAAGCACGAAAATGGATGTAAGGTGATTTTTAGCGTAAGTGTGCAGTGAATTCTTTTGGATGCACTTAGTGCATACTGATGCATATTAAAGGCTGTCGTGAATTTTAAAAAATTAACGCGAAAACGTAAGCATGATATGTAAATGGCCGATTCTCCGTTAGATGCTTAGCATATATCTTATCGTGTTGATACATCATATGTTAAGCATTTCATTTAATGAAAACGGGGAAAGCCATTTATATTATTTCTTTACACAAGTAGTGTACACAATCGATTTTAAGATGCATCAGTGTGCAGATCCAAGATTGCAAATCTCTGCCAAAAAAACTTAGACAATTATAAGAGATCATTGATTATTACTATTTCTTTGATAACTTTGACAAATTTTTTTTTTAAACAGAATAACTATAATTCTGTTCTTTGAAAGCTACTCGAGCTGATATATTATGAACGGAAATTGTATTCGAGTTTTTTTCAAACGAAAGATACTGATGTTAGTATATTATAGATCGTGGCAATAATAGAAAAGGTTCAACGATTTCTGCATTTTTTATCTTCTGATTGCATTTGCAAAATTATGTCAAATTATGTGCTACGTCAACATCTTTTTCCATAAATACGAATTTTTATAATTTTTATAGAATTATTCTCTGATATACATATATATATATACATATATATATATTTCAGCTATATAGAAATGGACTTGAGTAGTACAGATGATACTTGCAGCATGTTTGAACCTTTTATTAGAATCTGGAAACATGATAGCATCAAAATGTAATCGAAACTTTCTTAAATTCGAATCTTTTTTATATGAGTACTCGGAAATGTAACAGCATCTAAGTAAAATTCTACAATGTGTATACATGTATGTACTGGATACTTATGTAATTCACATTAACTATATAATATATTCTTTACAATTTTAAATTTACTTAGATGCTATTATGTTTTAAAGTAAGCATAAAAGATTCGAATATATATTTTTAATCAATTTTCAATTACGTTTTGATACTATTATCATTTGCTATATATTATATTTGTTTCGTACTTGAATGTATGAAGTTTTTACAATGATATTAACACATACATACAGGTACGATTTTTTTTTATAAGCCATATTCGATTTCAATGAAATGATATCTATATATTGAATTGAACCGATTGTGTTAAGATATAAATACGTTTTGAACTAGATCCTATCTCTGCAATTATATCTCGGAAGCCGACAATTGACGATTTTTATTCATCGATTGTCTCATTCTTTTGTATCTTTGTCACTTCTCGTAATATATGCATCAAAGTCGACACTGTCAGAGTAATTGGGAAGTCGTCAAATAGTCTGATACATCGGTTCTATATAAAAATCGATATTTTTTGCGACATAATTATAAGTATTATTTTTTAGAAATCTGCTATCAGAAATTCACAAAGATATTTGAATAATAATTAAGATCATGTTGTGTAGGCATTGCGGAGAATATCACGTTAGTCATTTCCCCTTTCTATCAAATATAGTTTGAAAAATGATTTTATTTGATGGTGCAAGCAGGGTTTACGGTGCATCTCAACGGCAAAATGCGGCGAGGTCCGACAATACAGTTGTACATATATATACATATATATATATATATATACACACATAGGCGTGTCTGTCATCGTATCGTACATATCTGTGTCACAGGGCTGTATATAATAAATAACACGAGTTTTCACGAGAGACCACCGAGTGTTGTACCGAGAAATCGCGAATATATCCACGCGCGACTGTTGACCTCCGAATCACGATCGAATAAAAAAAAAAGACGTAATTCATGCCAAAGTGTATCGCCTGTACAAGTATTATGAATGTGAACGGGAGAATTTCGTAAAAAAAAAAAAATAAAAAATATAAAAAAAAATAATTATTCGGAGGCGACGCGACGCGCGTGGAAATAATTTCTGTGTCGAGAAGAAAATATACACATATATTTCTTGTGCGAGCGATAGTTAGTAATATTTGTAGATAACACGGTACCTAAGTAATACGTAATGTATATACGATTATTTACACTATGCACATATGCGAATTTTAATGGCATATGTATATCCGTGCATCGAGATGGGATGCAGTAGAAAGGAAAAGAGGAGATTCGGGTCTTTCCGATATTTTAAGCGAGAAAGAGAGAAAATCTCCTTTTTTTATGAAAATACAACAAGATAGTGTAATGTATTTTAAAATATGTTTTTCTTTTAAACGTAGTTTAATATATATTTTTTGATGTATAAACGTTTCTTTTCTGTGAGCTAGGTAGAGATTTTTCGCCACTCGTCAAGATCGATGCGTTTTTCCGGTGGACTCTCGGTGATTAATTAAGGGCTATGATTTTAGATTATATATATAGGTCAGAAAAACGAACGTGATAAAATATTGATCGTATACTTATTCCTAAAAAAAAAAAGAAAAAAACAAACCCATACGCGTGTGTACATAGGTTTCATTATCAACGTGCAGAATTTGCGTAAGTGGTATACATATAACGATTGTAATGTCATAAGTATATCGTCGTATATATACATATACATATACATATATATATATATATATAAACTTGTGCGTGCATCGACATATGCATACATACATATATACATAAATGTAAAAAAAACGGACGTTGTACATATAATAGGATAAGATAGGATATTCCGTTAAGAAATGGCAAACATGTATTATTCTCATGTCATACAACCATCATCATCATCGTCATCTGTGTTGATTGAGATTACTACGTAATCAAACGAGATACATGCTACTGTTATTAATGTCGCTTGTCGTGTAAATTGACTTTTTACGTATCCGGAGGAAGATCAATGCTTTACTTTCTGCATATCTGTATGTAAAAATCCCCCGAAAAATGAAAAGGAAAAAAAGCGCGCGCGAACTGTCGATCCAACAATTTGCACGACACTGTGCCGATATATATTTATGTTTGCACATCAAAGAAAAAAAAGAATAGTTCTTAATGTAACAATATTTTTCATATGTATATATGTGAACTTTAATTCTACATTTTTCTTTCGACCTTATTTCAACGAATATAATTGATCGAGCGTCTTTCGAGAGAATTTGTGCAAACTGTCAGGTCATGTACTCTGAGCAATACATTCCCCCTTTCTCGACTCATTTCATCCCCTTCATCTCGTTTCTAAATTTCCCAAACTCCCCGAGTCGTGGACCAAACTGTAGCGAGAATGTCGACAAAAACACGCGCGCAAAAAGAGAGAAAAAGAGCGAGAGAGAGAGACGCAAATATATAAAAAAAGAGTTCCTATAAGGCCGCAAACATTTGTTGGGCGGACGACGATGAGCGAAAAGAGGACAAGAAGGCAATCGGGTAGAGGAGAATAGTTGAACGAAGAAAGGGAAGGGAAGAAAGAAGGTTTTGTCCGTCATGAGTGCTTGTAGATAATTAACAGGATAATAAGAATAATAATAATTATAGCGAAAGAAAGAAAAGAGAGATACGACTCCTCTCTTCTTGTCATCGGCATCATTCGTCGATTTATATGTTACAAAATGCGTTCGATATTTTATGCGATAACGCCGCAGGTGAACATATTAGGCATTTTTACTTGATGATCCGTAATTAGTTACATTCATTAATATAATTATTAGTAATTATTAATTATTATTATTATTTCATTATATTTTAACTTTTATTATTTGAGAATAAAAATGCTAGAGAGCTTTCAGTTACATCAGCATTATTTGTTCTTTTTCACCGTTTTTCAGTTTTTTCCGCTCCCTTCGATCCCTTCAATTTCTATTTTTGCGTAGAAAAAAAAAACTAATTGATAAGCGAAACGAGATATTTATTTTCTGCTGATCCGCGACGATCGCCGCGCGATTTTTCTATCCTTTATCTAGCGAGCGTGGTGTCGTTATAGAGAAATAAAAAAAAACTGTATTCCTCTCCTACCGTCCCGTCACCTTCTCATCTGTGTATATACTATCTGTATATATACAACTTTGTAGTAGTGGATAAATAATACTCGATACGCCATATACATGCATAAGAACCAGTTTACGATTGGACGGAAGATAAGAAGCAGAAGGATGCATCGATGAAATAATTTTTAATTCTGTATTAATATTATTCAGATCTTTTTCTAGCAACATCGATAATTAATTATCAATCATAAATTATAATTTTTTCCAATCAAATTTCTTTGCTGGCAAACTCGTAAAAAAGCTGTCTCTGATAAAACTAGAAATATAAACGAGAAGAATTGTATGAATTATATCTGCTTTTTATCTCCGTCCACGCAGTAATTGGCTTAAGACGATCCTATATGTTCAGTAATTAGGAGAAAACGAAGCTACAATGCTCCGAGTATACCAATTAGTCGACTACTCGTAGAAGAGTTTGTATTCTCAACGTAAGACACTATTGGATACTTTAAATTCGTGATGGTACTAAATGTCAAAAAAAGAAAAACTTAATTAAAATGTAATTTTAAAAAATATATAGACATATCTAATCTTTTTTAATATTATGATAAATTATAAAAAAATTTTTAATAATATAAATTATATAAAGTCTGTTCCTCTGTAAAATATTCAGAGAAGATTACGATAATTGTTATAAATTCTTCTCATTTTTCTAGATAATTTTGTGTGTACAATCGCATCGATTAATGATGATAAAGATAATTGTAAATTTTCGCGATTTGGCAATTATTTACCTTCGCGTTTAGAGTATCCAGTTTTTCAACGTCTTCTCGTGGAGGACATCATAGGGTTATCATATAGGTTTTAATAACGTTCGATGTGTGTAACACGTTATCACGAGGCACATAACATAATCGTATAAGGGTTAATTAAAATATACGCGAGAGGAGCACGGTATGACAGTTCTTAAAAAACGTCGAGACGATTACAGAATCCCGTTCAAACGAGAACGAGAAATCGTTTGACTATTTTGTACTAAGAATTATCGATTCTATTATATGCACGTCTGAGAGAGAGAGAGAAAGAGAGCGAGAGGAAATGAAAGGAAGATGAGAGAAAGTGAACGAAAAAATGTCGCAAAATTCGCGAATCTTCCCGTCGACGGACTGTAATAATTAATAGACAAATTTCTTGCTATAAAAATGCATGTCTATGCGGCAATCGTTTTTCATCTTTTGATGAAAGAACGAGCTTTTATGTGGAAGAGAAAGAGAGACAATGGAATAAATGGGAGAGAGAGAAAGTGCGAGAGCATGTTGAATGGTGTATAAATAAAATCATATCAATCGTAAATAGTTCGTGTTATCTAGATATACTACGATTATTACGATTATTATTTATCACAGTATGATTAGCGAAGGATATTGTAATTGTATAATAAACTGGGTCATAGATCATCTCTCTGCTGTCCTGATACTTTTTGATTAATATAATTAATGTATTGAATGAATATATAATTAATTAATTCACGTATGTTGAGAAAAATTTGAAACCATTTTTTTAATTTTATATTGCATTAATTATTTTTTTTTTAAGAAATATGATTTTTTTATATCTCACTTTTGTTAAAGAAATTATTGATATTATTAAGGTAAGTGATTATGTATATTATATACAGACGTCGATTAGAAAATTTGTAGAATAAATATAGAAATGTAAATTATAAATTATTTCACACATATACGCACATATTATAATAAATTGAAGACTTTTTATTAAAAAATTTTGACAAAAGTCAATAAGCTGTATTTAAAATAGACAAGATCAATATATTTAATAATCATTATTGTCTTCAGTCAACATGACTTAATCCTTATTTTTAATAAAACAATTAATACTGGAGAAGAGCTCCGTACTTACCCAATATTTAAATAAAATCCGCCCTTCTCAAAGTAAGAGCGAAAATTTTAATGTTACACAAAATATAATTGCACAAAAATACACAATATTGTAAAGCAAAGCAGGAGAGGATTTTCACAAAATTTTATTAAATTGTATTAATCAAAAAAACAATTAATACTGGAGAAGAACCCCGTACTTACCAAATATTAAAAAAATAAAATCCGCCCTTTCAAAGTGAGAGCAAAAATTTTAATTACGCACAAAAATATTCAATATTGTAAAGCAAAGGAGAGGATTTTCACAAAATTTTATTAAATTTTATTAATCAAAAAAACAATTAATACTGGAGAAGAACTCCGTACTTACCAAATATTCAAAAAATAAAATTTGCCCTTTCATAAAGTGAGAGCAAATATTTTAATTACGCACAAAAATACTCAATATTGTAAAGTAAAGGAGAGGATTTTCACAAGATTTTATTAAATTTTATTAACCAAAAAATTAATGAGTCTCACCGAGACGATATAGGAGAGCTCCGTACTTATCCAATCTTTAAATAAAATCAGCTCCTCAAAATGAGAGCAAAAATTTTAATATTGTACAAAAATATACACGCAATATTGTAAAGCAAAGGAGCGGATTTTCACAAAATTTTATTAAATTTTATCAACCAAAAAATTGACTCACCGAGACGATATACTTATTGTTAGCAGCAGCGGAATTGTAAACTGTAAAATATAAATAACATAAATTAATAAAAAATAAATATAATATAAATATATAATATAAAAACATAATAATAATAAAATAAAAAATATAAATAAATTACTCACCATAAAATATTTGTTCTATCGTTGCCCGATGCCACTTCGGGCCTCCTCGTAGAAGAATGCACTTGCACTCGCGTTACCTTTTTCGTTCACGACGTCCGAATTTTAATTATATCACAATCTTCGACGTCTTTCGATAAAACGCGAGAATTTATTCGCGCGCGAACAAAATCTAATTTTTTTAATAAGGCCATTTATCGAACAACGATGGCGACTTCCCCCGCGATGCACTCATAGAAGTCACCGATATATTACCGAATATTGGCCACTATATGTATACACGCTTCACTATATTTCAACGATATTTTGACACGACGGTGCGAAAGTACGACCAAACACGCGCAATTGTCTACTTAGAATACACTCAAGAACGTCGAAAAACTCGAGAATTTCAGCGTCGAAAGCACGCGGTAATTCTCACGATCGGTCCCCTCGGAAATTTGCGCGCCAAATAACTTTCGGCGGGCTCGAGTCGTCGCTGTGACGTCACGCGGTCACGTGTGCTTTCGGGAGGCTGAACGCTGAGCGAGATTCACACCGCGAATTTTGCGGTCGACAAGCGGCAATAATTTCGCGCGCGCGATCGCGATTAATCTGTCGAATACACGCGACACAATCGGATTTATAATTTTATACGACAATTAACGAGGTAAGACACTAATTAATATGTATTTACACTCAATGTTCGCGGACCGGCACGATGAGCGCGCGAACGTCAACCGCGAACAATGTAAAAGTGTACTAGAGTACAGCACTCTCCACTTTAGATTGCGTTCGGAATTATATTCCCCTAGGGTGAAACGCTGGACCAATCAGGACGAAGCAATCCTCGCTCTCTGATTGGTTGGACAAATTCTGAACTTTGACAGACGGATTTTCGAACATAATCTAGAGTACTGCTGCTATTTTGTACTCGAGGTTAACTTTAATGTCAATTTAAATGTAAAGATAATTTTAATTTTAACTTAAATTTTTAATTTTAATAATCTCAACTCTCTAATTTTAATTTTAAGTACTAACAGCCTAAAAAATAATTAAGAATGTACCTCAAGTTAAGGTATTTATATTAATGTAAACTAAAGACACGGCCACAGTTTCCCACTTTGGCATAAGATTATATTTTGTTATGTAAAGGTGTCTTTTTACGAGCCGCTGAAACCGATTGTTTGAACGACAAAATGATCACGTAACAACTTTTGTCGCTGAATTGAACAGCGATCATTTTTGTACATGAAAAGGATAGCAGTAATTATACTGCTCAAACGCTCAACTTTCAATTCTGTTTGCGCTGCTATTCTTTTCCCTCGCGTTATCTTTTTCATTCAACAAGGCCGGATTCTAATTATATCACAATCTTCGACGTGTTTCGGTAAAACGCGAGAAACTGATTCGCGTGCGAACAAAATCTTATTTTTTCAGTAAGGCCATAATTTATCGAACGACAGTGACGACTTCCTTCGCGACGTACTCAGAAGTCGCCGATATTCCCGAATATTGGCCATTATATATATATACGCTTTACTACAAGATTTCAACGACACTTCGACACGACGATGCGAAAGCACGACCGGAAACGCGCAATTGTCTACTTAGAATATATTCGAGAACATCGAGTAATTACTGCTCAAACGCTCAACTTTTAATTCTGTCGCGCTGCTATCCTTTTCATGTACAAAAATTATCGCTGTTTATTATTTTTAGGCTGTTAGTACTTAAAATTAAAATTAGAGTTAAGATTATTAAAATTAAATTAAAGTTAAAATTAAAATTATTTTTACATTTAAATTGACATTAAAGTTAAACTCGAAAAGATTCGTGAAAAGACACATTTACATAACAAAATATAATAATTATTTTAAAGTAGGAAACTGTGGCCGTGCCTTAGTTTGCCTTAATACAATATCTTAGCTTGACGTTCTTAATTATTCTTTAGGCTGTTAGTACTTAAAATTAAAATTAAAGTTAAGATTATTAAAATTAAATTTAAGTTAAAATTAAAATTATCTTTACATTTAAATTGACATTAAAGTTAACCTCGAGTACAAAATCGCAGCAGTACTCTAGATTATGTTCGAAAATCCGTCTGTCAAAGTTCAGAATTTGTCCAACCAATCAGAGAGCGAGGATTGCTTCGTCCTGATTGGTCAGTCCAGCGCTTCAACCTACGGGAATATATTTCCGAACGCAATCTAAAGTGGAGAGTGCTGTACTCTAGTACACTTTTACATTGTTCGCAGTTGACGTTCGCGCGCTCATCGTGCCGGTCCGCGAACATTGAGTGTAAATACATATTAATTAGTGTCTTACCTCGTTAATTGTCGTATAAAATTATAAATCCGATCGTGTCGCATCTATTCGACAGATTAATCGCGATCGCGCGCGCGAAATTATTGCCGCTCGTCGACCGCAAAATTCGCGGTGTGAATCTCGCTCAGAGTTCAGTCTCCCGAAAGCACACGCGACCGCGTGACGTCACAGCGACGACTCGAGCCCGCCGAAAGTTATTTGGCGCGCAAATTTCCGAGAGGACGGGTCGCGAGAATTACCGCGCGTTTTCTACGCGAAAATGTCCGGATTCTTTGATGTTTTCGAGTGTATTCTAAGTAGACAATTGCGCGTTTTCGGTCGTGCTTTCGCATCGTCGTGTCGAAGTGTCGTTGAAATATAGTGAAGCGTGTATAATAGTGGCCATTATTTGGGAATATCGGCGACTTCTGAGTGCGTCGCGGAGGAAGACGCCATATCGCGTTGTTCGATAAATGGCCTTACTGAAAAAATAAGATTTTGTTCGCACGCGAATAATTAGTTTCTCGCGTTTTACTACCGAAACACGTCGACGATTGTGATATATAATTAAAATTCGGGCGTTGCAAACGAAAAAGGTAACGCGAGTGCAAGTGTTTCGCGAAGTGCATCTTTCTACGAGGATATGAGGCCCGGAGAGGCATCGAGCAACGACAGAGCACCTATTATGGTGAGTTAATTTTATTTGATATATTACTACATTTATTTAATTTTATTTATTTTGTTATTTTATTAATTTATAAATTATATTTTACAGTTTACAACCCCGCTGTTATACATCATATCGCGGTAAGTCTCATCAATTTTTACTTAAATTTTGGTTAATAATTTTGTGAAAATCATCCTCTTCGATTTTGCTGAAACTTTAATTAATGTATTTTGTGTATTTTTTGGTGCGTGAAACACGAATCTGCAAATTAAAATCCGCCTCCCTCTTCCCTTTAGGTGATTCGCAGGTAATGAATAATAAACGAATAATAAATTTATTTTTGATTTTTAATATAATTATAGTACACAATATTTATATTTTATCATCTGTTGGAAATCACAGAACCTGTATATTTTCATATATTTCGTCATAGATGTCTCGTAACTCTATTTACATCATAAGTCACGTGACCATGTAACCTAACTTGTGTTTTGGGGAACCATGTAAAATACCAATACTTCTTGTTACAATTTATGTCAATAATTGTAGCATATTTTAATAATTGGTTAATTTATCAGTAAATGTTATAAATATAATTATTACGTGATTGACATCCAAGAGCGTCTGCTAGAGTTTGCTGGAAATTTGTAAACTCTCGACATAACTTTCTAGTACACGTGGTAAAGTAATCGCATTTTAAAGAAAAATATATAAAATATTTGCGAATTGTGATCAAGATGGAATCTAAGAAGACAGGACCGATCGACAATGCTTGGGCATTGAAAATTCCAGAGTTCAAAGAGAAAGACAATCCTCATCGTCTCCTGGAGGAGAGTTCGTTCGCGACGATGTTCCCGAAGTATCGGGAGCAGTACTTGAGGGAACACTGGTCGTTAGTGCAGAAAGCTCTGGCCGAGCATCACGTCAAGGCCGAGCTGGATCTCGTGGAGGGTAGCATGACGGTGAAAACCACCAGGAAAACCTGGGATCCGTATATCATCATCAAAGCACGCGATATGATCAAGCTGATGGCTCGTTCGGTGCCCTTCGAGCAGGCGGTGAGAGTCCTTCAGGATGACATCTCCGCGGATGTCATCAAGATATCCTCGTTCGTCAGGAACAAGGAGAAGTTCGTCAAGAGAAGACAGAGGCTCATCGGACCAAACGGATGCAATCTCAAGTCCATTGAACTGCTCACCAACTGTTACGTTGTGGTCCAGGGCCAAACCGTGTCTGCATTGGGGCCTTACAAGGGTTTGCAGCAAGTTAGGAAAGTGGTGGAGGATACAATGAAGAATATTCATCCGGTTTACAGTCTCAAAGCTTTGATGCTGAAGAGAGAACTCGCCAAGAATCCAAAATTGAAGGATGAGAATTGGGAACGTTATCTTCCTAAATATAATAGTAAGAATATCAGCAAGCGCAAGGAACCGAAGAAGAAGGTGAAGAAACCGTACACTCCGTTCCCACCAGCTCCAGAAGAGAGCAAAGTTGACAAGAAGCTGGGATCTGGTCAGTACTTCTTGACTGAGGATCAGAAGAGAGCGAAGAAACAGAAGGAGCAAGAAGCGAGACATGAAGAGGCTAACAAGAGGAGACAGGAGCGTAGAGCACAAGCATTTATACCACCTGAAGAACCTGTCCCAAAGTGAAATTACGAAAAGAAAAACAGTGTGATACTGACATTGCATGAATAAAGAAGTAAATTCATCAAGGACTCTGAAGAAGTACATGATAGAATAATAATGTTTCATAGTACGAGTTGCAACATATGTTTCATTTAATAATTTCATCATTTCTTTTAATGATATTAATGATGTGATATATAAAGGGATATGTGAAAAATTGAATTCTGTTACACAATATAAATTTACGGAAATATCCCGCCATTTTATTAAAAAACTTGTTTTAATAATTACTGTAGTATATCGCATTCTTAACATATATATATTTATATATATATTTTTTACATTTTTGTAAAATATAGAGCAGAGGAAATTTCGGTATTTAGCATTGTTGAAGACGAATATACTCAAAATTTATTATATACATATTTTTTTGCAATAATATATGTATTTTTTACTTATCAAAAATCTTATAGAGAGAATATTTCAAAAAATTTCGAGATAAAACAAAATTCTGCACTTATTTTCACAGACAATTGTAAAAATATAATATATAATATTTTGTGAACATTATTAATCATATCCTTTAATTTTTGCTTTTTGTGAATCAGGATATTTTATTCCTAGTAGTATATAGTCTTCAATTATGCTAATACCTTGACTCGATGCAATTGCCATTTCAAATCTCGCTGCAAAATTATTCATAATTTTCGGAAAGTAGCAGATGCCGAACTGGCCGCTGTTTAATTATTTTTTTTTATCTTTTTTTTTCGATATCCAAAATCGCTCTTACATCAGACAAAATATACGGGCTAACGCATTATGTATCAAGGATGTAAATATACTCGTTCAATATAATACAGCACTCTTATTCTATCTGCACCACAATTTCGCTTCTCGAGTACAAATTTGCATATTACTGAATTACACCTATATTAACATTGACTGGTTATCAGCTATCTTAATATTAGGCTCGTGTCGCCTGTTAGCTTATTTTTACTGATTCTGGAAGTACATTTCTCTCTCGTTAGCTTATATCTATACTTTTTTCTCTCTTATGTCGTGCATATATTTATTTACAAATATACGAATATATATATATAAACGAGAAATAAATATTCATGCTGATTGCAAAACAAAAATTTCTGGAATTGTTAGGAGGAAGGTGATTCAATATAGAATATTATGCATAATTATTTACAAAGCAGCGATGAGAGATATAGACAAATTTCAGAGTAATTCTGCGTGTGTGTTCGATATCGCGTTTCTCGTACTTCCTCTTGGTTTAGTTGATTGAAATAAATTTTTTCTCAATAATAAAATGCTCCACCAATAATTACAAAAAATATATACATATATTTTTCGTTTTTTAGCTAATATCAAAGGGATTATTCGCGAAATTCACTCTTCGTATAATCGTTGAATTTAATTGCCAAATAATTTCTTATTAAAAAGTTAAACATTAATTAAGCTCCGCGTGCGAATTATTGCTCCGTGAAACTTTAAATAATCCGAAAACTAAGTTCCGTTATCTATGCTCTTGAAGCTCTTGGACGGCAAAATCCTTTTAATTCCAACGTTGACTGACTCTGTAATTAGAGCTCCCTCTCTCTCTCTCTCTTTCAATCTCCGGCTAACGGAAGGTCGACTTGGTCGAAAATCCTTCAAAAGCATCTGTAGCCGAAAGGAAGCGCGATAATACAGAGATACCTCATGTACATATTTACTATCTACGTGTATGTATATGTATATCATCGCTGGCCGCTTTTCCTGATTAAAGGAAAACGTTTTTAAAGGGCCGACGTTTTTTCTTTTTGCTTGCGCGACGATACGATAAAGATCTGAGATTTCTTTTAGAGACATTTTGATTTTCAGAAGCGATTTTATATCTTCGTATAATATGCGATCGTCGCCTTCGTTTAATCCGAGAAAAAGGCGAATCGATCGCGTTTATAATATTTATTTTGAAGTTGTTATCAGCTTATGTGTAGAGAGAATATTGATATCAAAAGAATTTTTTTTCCCTTTTTTTTTACCAGATGCTTAATCGTAGCAACTAGCGTGAAAACGTGTAATATATAATATATGTATGTGGATGCCCGTGTATTATACAAAAGTTCATTAAGATATATATATTATCATTTATATCTCGCTTCGCGATATTTTTTTATAGTCCCAGCACGAAGCAACGGCAGTAAGATATTTTTTTTATATCGTCGGAAAGTATAAGTGTACAAAAGATCACGTCCTCTGCTAATACGTATTGCTATGTTAGTCGTGTCAACTGCCACTTTGATTCACTTTTAACACGTTGTAGACGAGTAATCGGATCCACGAATGCATTTAGAAAATTTTTTATGGAATTTTTACAATTTTTGAATCTTTTAAATCGAATTTTTCATCAATTACATTAAAATAAGAATTTATTTTTCTACTAGAAGTGAGAAGAAATTAATATCTCTCTCAATGATTATTTCCAAGCTCTAAAAATTCAAATATATATAATCGAAAATTCTTCTAATTCTTTTTTTTTTTGGAATGTTACTACCGAACTACAACATGTTAAATACGTTCATACGCTCCGGTTACGCCGCGCTTTTCGCACAACCAAGTAATATAAGTATACAATTAGTTACAAAAATAAATAATCTCTTTTCTGCGAATCTCGTATAGCGCATATTTTTGACGAGAAAGCGTTTTTGTTCGTCGCAATTTATGTTTCATTACGAAGATGGGGAGACATGGGTATCGGCGGATTCGAAAATGCGCCCCGTATACTAATAATAAGATCGGATAAAAATAACATACATTTGCACGGACTTTGCATCTGACTTCGAGACTGATCAAAATAGCAGTATCGGTTGCTAAGAAGCTTCTTGCGTTGTACACTTTCAGTCATGTGTAAATAAAAATTAGTATAAAATTTGTGACTTTCGTGCAAAAAAAAAAAAAAGAATATTTAACATTTTTTTCAAGATCGTCTTTAAAAAAGGAATAGAATTTATATAAATTTGGTTAAAAATGTAAATGATTAATTTATGATTGCGAGATAGAACGAGAACACAATTGTGTCATAATTGGTTCTTTTTTCTTTTTCTTTTTCTTTTTTTAGTAGTGTAAATAGCAAAAATCTTCTTTGCGTTATTTGCTTAAAAGCGTAATCTCAAAACGGTGTTTGTGATAAGACTATCGATTATCTAAAACATGAAGTAATGCCAAAGCTTTGGCTTTCTTCATATAAAAAAAGATTACATATACATAAGTAAAAAAAAAAAAAAAAAAAGAGAAATTATCCATTAGACATTAAAGTACAAATAATTGGCCTTCGCTAAAATCTGGATTTATGATAAGTAGAAAAAAAATGTCATAAACTCAGATTGTGTCTTGTATGCAAAATTATATTCTGACATATAATATTGTTGCGCAACAATATATATAAGTATGCAGTGCGTATGCAACAATATATATTCTGTTTGTTTCATTATGTCATATATAAAAGAACAAAAGATAATTTAAGTTTTAAAAATCTGCTTTTTTAAAATCAATTTATAAGCAATGATCTTGTGTTTCATAATTATGTTTCATTAATAGCATTTTTGAAATCAATCTTATAGACTGATTTCATTTAACTTGTCAATTGCCAATATTAATCAAAATTTACACAATTGCATTATACATAAATTTTTTATATCAACGATAGTTTCTTTAGAAAAAATATACTTTATGTAAACTATATATGTAAACTATATACTTTATGTAAACTATATACTTTATGTATACATTTTAAACTTTTATAGACGACACATTTTACGGAAAGTGAAGAGCTGATGTAAATCCACGTAATATTCTATTCAATTTCAATCTTTGTTCAAATAATATATTATATATTATATATATATATAATATATAGTAAAATCTTTACTTATATAATATCCCTCAAACAAATTCTTCGAGTCTAATCATGAGTCAAAATTGTGTATGAATACTCTGCGTATACAATTCAATTATTTCTTAATATACACATTTAGCTCCGTTTAATAACACTTTAAACCGCGAATACGAGGGATTTCTTCGCCCTGCTGACTTTCTTCGAGGCTAAAAGTGTTAAAAAATGACTCTTTTCGCTAATATAATTTTTCTTGTTTTAAATCCAGCGCACGTATGAAGCATATACCGTAAATCCGCGCATTCGAGAGATTAAGATGCAGTCGCGACTTAACGTGCCTCGGGTCGCAATATGCGAGAAACGGTATATGCAACTTCCGCATTGTCACTATTCGTACACACATTCCTCCGCGCTCTTTTTTTTTTACATTATTTTACTATAAATAATTTTACGCTTATCACACATCGATTGCGAGACGTCACCCTATCATTAAGGTTTAATCTTTTGTCATTATAAAAGGAGTATCGTGATGGTTTCTAGCATTTTTTTTCTTAGTGCCTAAGAAAACGATGAAAAGCGATAAAATTTCGAATGGATAATTAACCCCTTGAGTGTCAATGACGGAAAATCCGCCAAAATAAAACTGCAATGGCCAAAAGTGCTTCATGACGGAAAAATTCGCATATTTCATAACGCCAATAAATCACTTTTGCAGTGCAGCAATTGTACTGATAATGCATACTTTAATGTTTTTGAGGTCGCTGATTTTAAGTTTGATGTCGGATTTTAGAAATTGAAGATTGCGGATCCAATATGGCGGATAATTCTTTAAAATTAGTATAGTTCAAAAGTTACTTTATTTTTCAAATACTGGTTCAATGTATCAGATAAAACATTTTTCATACTGAAAATCTAAAATTAAACCGATAATTAGCAATACAGGGAATTGAAAAAATGTTTGAAGTTATTATCCGCCATTTTGAATTTTGGAATTCCGACCTTGGATTCTGATCGGCACCACAAAAAACCCCGGAAAAATGACTTATTTTATATTTCTAAATTTAATGTCATTGATAGCATCCTTCGCACACATGCGTTTTTTTTTTGCCTGACACTCAAGGGGTTAAAATCGAAGCTTATATTGATTATAGTATGTATATCATATACACCAAGCAGTCTTAAAACATTTTTCACTTTTTTTCTGCGAAATTATCCCGTCTTACGTTATATCATTTTCTTATAACATTATTAAGCGATTCCCCGCAGAGAGGGAAGAATTATCCAAATACACTCTCGTCTAAACTTTATGAGACAAACTGCATCGGGCATTCGCGATTTGCAAACAAGATAGGCTCTTCCTTCCGAACCATGTAGGGAGATCACGAGAAGAGCCACAAGCTACAAAGACGCAACGGTCTAGGATAAGTAAGATCCGCCCTAAATCGATCGGACAAGAGTCAAAAGTCCCTAATTAAGTAATAGCGTCTCTCCGATGCGGTCCGCCTCGCTTAAAATGATCTCGATGATCGAGTCGCGCGACGACGACGAATGAGAGTCCTGCGGTTGAATGATGGGTGTTCACCGCAACCATATCAGCTAGTGATTGTGATTGTAGAGATGCCACCTTTGCGTGTCCGCGTTCGAGTCGCACTTCTCGGCCGTGATACCGCGTTGCGCGTGATACCGCGAGTCCACGCACACGGGTATTCTCGTGTGACGTATCAGGCCGCCCTCCAAGTGCCGCCACTTCTGGTTCTCGCTGCCGTCGCAGATCTGCATCAGCAGCGTCGTGCCCTTGGCGTACACCGGCAAGGTCAGGCAGAGGTCGTGGTGCTTGATCAGGCCGTCCTTGGTGAGGCCCCACTCCTGCGAAGTGTATCATATCGATGTTTAGCTCCGCGTTCTACTTTTTTTTTTTTATCGAATTTAGGTTGATCCGCTAGGCTTACCTGGTTGCCGCCGGTGTTGTGACAAGGGTAGAGACCCACGTTTCCGTCGAGAAGATGACCCATGCTGTCTAGACAGGCTGTGCCTTGTTTCAAGGAACCACCGGGTCCACCCTCGCTCGTAGGTATGACTAATTCGGGGTAAACGTGTTTCAGATACCAGCTGAAAGGCTTGCAATGCAGCCTTCGTTTTAGCTCCATCCTGTCTTGGATACTGCAATTATTTATACAATTAGCATAATCGAATTTTCATTTTAGTTTTAAAATTTTAATTTAATTCTTTAATCAAATTCTGTTTTTATATATTAAGTTTTTTATTTTATATCATATAATTTATATCATATATATTTTTCATATTTTTTTATTATACTTTATGTAGATATTATTTCTAATATTTTATATCTTAGATATCATTTTTATTATATATTATATTTTTTATATTTAATTTTACAATTCTTAATAAATTTGTTTTTATATATTAATCTTAATATATAATTAAATTAATATACTTGATATATTAATAATTAATAATGAATATTAAAATATATTTAATATATAATGTTCTATAAATGAATAAAAAAATTTATTTAGTTTTTTTATATATTAAATTTTATTATTATATATATTATCAAGATGTATTTTGACGAGGGTTTAATTTTCAAAAATAAATTTCCATTTTGCGTAAAAAAAGTCTCGTTATAATTAAATTAATATATACTTGATATATTAATAATTAATAATGAATATTAAAATATATTTAATATATTAATGTTCTATAAATGAATAAAAAAAATTATTTAGTTTTTTTATATATTAAATTTTATGACGAGGGTTTAATTTTCAAAAATAAATTCCCATTTTGCGTAAAAAAGTCTCGTTTCACGTATTTAGATGCGTATTCAGTAGCGTAGTACTTTGATGTGGCGTTAAATGACATGATGAAATGCGAGTGAAATTAGAGTTGCGTCTCCCTCCTTCTCCGGAGAGAGTTTAATTGAAACGTCGGCGCAAACCAGCGGACTTACTTTCCGTAAGGGATGTTTCGTGCCAACGGCACGGCGTTATAGTAGAACTGCTTGTAGTCGTCCATCCATACTTCGGCGGCGCGCCTCGTGTTTCGGGCAAACACGTTTCCGCTGCCTCCAGGGAACGAGTAAGGATGACGTTTGCGGAATACATGGCCGACACGTGAGCACGGAATAATCTCTAAGCTGCCACCGCATTGCCACACGCGGAACGATATTTCTGAAAGAAAGTTTAAGTTACAGGTGTGCGTATATAATGCCGCCGGCACACAGGCGCGAAACGTCAAATGCGAGGACGGAAGTAGTCGCGAGAGAGTTTAGAGAAACGAGAAGAGAATCCGTAAACTTCCGGATAATTTAATATATTCAGTTATTTTTAGTACTATTTTTTTAACTTATTTTACTATAGAATTGACATGTCTCTTCCATTGCAAATGTTTTTCGTTCTTTAAAGATTTTTAATATTTTTCATTTTTGAAATATTAATTAAAATGATTTTTTAATATATTTTTTATCATTTTATCGTATTATTTCTCGATACTTTTTTTGTCTATGTATAATATTAAAGAAAAATTAAAAATCTTATCTATTGACACATTTTAAAAAGAGTTGTCTTATATCATAGAATATATAATATATTAATAAATAGAAAAAATGCTGTTTTAATACACAAATCTTTTATTAAATTACTTTAAATTGAACGTTAACATTATTTCAACAAACTCGAAAATTGTATCACATTATTCTTTGTATTCCTGGAGTACTTGTGATATTTAAAAATTATGTGCATGTAATATTTAAAAAATATGCATATTATATAATATTTAAAAAAATTACCTGTAGACACGTTTTAAAGAGAGTTTTATAGATATAATGTACATTATACACGTAAAATTTCGAAAATGATATTAATAAAAAATGTACCGTTTTAATGCGCAAATATTTGGTCAAGTGACGCTAAACTGAAATAATGTAGCCTTATTTCAAGAAACTCGACCATTTTTCTTCCGTCTGTTCGAAATGAGGTTGAAGTTATTTCACACTTTTGACATATATTGGTTTTCTCGCTGTTTTCCACGAAGTTCCTTACAAACTGCGGCGCGCAAGACGGTAGTTCCTGTCGAATAGTTTATTTTCTTTCTTGTTTGAAACGTGTAACGACAGACGCAGCATCTTTCCTGATACTTGGAAGAATAATTGATGCCTTGTACGTAAACACGCGAACGTGACACTTTACGCGATATCGATTAAATGCAAATCTTATTAAAGATGAAGAATCGCTTGATGAACTTCGACTTATTTTTTTGGTATTTATTTTTAAAATTTTTATTTATTTTTTTACGACGTTAAATAGACAATCGCGATTCTCTGTATAAACTTTCGAGAAACTAAATGTTTTTTCAGATTTATTTATTTGTGCGACTGTCGAATATTGTGACAAATAAGCCAATATTTAGGTCAATATGTTCGGATATTTCTCAATACAAACAGAAAATGTTTAAAACTTATTAAGAAATTATAACTCCCGACCATATTGATTGAATAAAAAGTTTACTTCGCAGCAAAGCACTCATCTTGAGTTGCGCGTGCCTCATAAGAAAGTTTTTGTAACGAAGTATATCGGGGGCAAAGAGAAAAGAGGGAAGGCCACGTGCAATATCTTTCATAGCATTTGCAATTCTCTTAAAGCGAAATATTCTTAGTTATTCTTAGAAAATAAGTAACAAATTTTTCAGAAAGCGTCCTTCTATAAAGTATTTTTTTAATTTTATTTTTCAAACATTTTCAATTTCTTTGTAGAAGAGATAAATAAACAGAAAAATATTTATTATTATTATTATAAAAAATATATTTTTATTTTTATATAAAATATAATAATAAATATTTTTCTTTTTATGTATCTCTTCTACAAAAAAGTTTTAAATAAAAAAAATTATATTGAATATTGAATTTTAAATTTTATTTTTAAAACATTTTAAATTTCTTTGTAGAAGAGATAAATAAACAGAAAAATATTTATTATTATTATTATAAAAAATATATTTTTATTTTTATATAAAATATAATAATAAATATTTTTCTTTTTATGTATCTCTTCTACAAAAAAGTTTTAAATAAAAAAAATTATATTGAATATTGAATTTTAAATTTTATTTTTCAAACATTTTAAATTTACTATTTTTTTGCGCACTGAAGAGGAGCAAGTAGTGCTCGAAACGTTTGTGTAATTATTATTTCAAATTAAGAATTTTCCTCTAAATAATAAAATAATATCGTATTGCTCGTTACACATGGCCTTAATTTAATAATTTATCATTTTAAATTTCTTTGTAGAAGAGATAAATAAAAAGAAAAATATTTATTATTATTATTATAAAATATATTTTTATTTTTATATAAAATATAATAATAAATATTTTTCTTTTTATGTATCTCTTCTACAAAAAATTTAAAATAAAAAAAATTATTAAAAAACCACTCCTCAATGTTTAAAGTCGACCAGACTGGCAATAATTTATTATAAATAATTATTTGAAATACAACAACAACGTTTCGGCTGTCATTGCAGCCCTTTTCAAGTACATCAAATTTAAAACAGTAAATCAACTTCTATGCAAACTACCGACAATGTTAACGCTTGTTTTGATGAACAATGTAAGACTGACAGAAGTAAGCACATATTAAATAGATGTTAACTGTTCACAAGAATCTTAGTCACTGAGTGACTAAGATTCTTGTGAACAGTTAACATCTATTTAATATGTGCTTACTTCTGTCAGTCTTACATTGTTCATCAAAACAAGCGTTAACATTGTCGGTAGTTTGCATAGAAGTTGATTTACTGTTTTAAATTTGATGTACTTGAAAAGGGCTGCAATGACAGCCGAAACGTTGTTGTTGTATTTCAAATAATTATTTATAATAAATTATTGCCAGTCTGGTCGACTTTAAACATTGAGGAGTGGTTTTTTATTAATTATTACTGGCAACCTTAAGGATTATTATTTAAAAAAAATTATATTGAATATTAACAAAATAAATATAAAAAAAATACACAAGTATTAGAAATATTGAACATAACGTATGTCGACTTTTCGCGAACACACTTTATATAGGTGTACACGAAAGTACACACACATATATATATATATATATATATATATATATATAATCATACCTAGATTCTCGCCGCCCCAAACGTCCATCTGAGTATCGTATTTGCCGAGTTTCTCAAAATACCCTTTGTTGATGACAAACAATCCGCCGGCAATCATAGGGGTCCTAATGGCCTGCGTCGGGTCCTTTTGCCTCGCCTGTCGTTCTATCTGGCTGAGATACTCCCATTTGAAGACGAGACTCCAATCAAAACCACCCCTGAGATCGGCGGAGGCTCCTAAAAACAAGATAAAAATCGTTCGCCTCGAAGGAAGGAAGGAAGAATATTGTTTACGTAAAGATGTTTGCGATACTCCGGAATCCCAGAGGACGACGTCGAACGATGTTTACGACAACGCCCACTCACCGATATATTGGAAAGTGTCCATACTGATTACGTCGATTACGGGACAGACCACCCTGGTCGGGTCCTCGGCCACCCTTTCCAGAAGGGGTTCGAGCCAGTCGGCGTTGCATTCGCAATGGGAATCCAAAAATGTCAACACATTCGCGGTGGCCGCGTCCGCACCTCGAACTCGCGACCTCATCAATCCCTCTCTTTTCTCGTTTCTGATCACGCGAACCTTGTGGATCCGCGACAGCTCCTCGCCGTCCTCGGCTGCGAACAAATTAATCAGCCTCGTTTTATGTGCATCACCGAAAAAAATATATAAAAAAAAATATACATATAATATTAAATATATTAAATAAATATATATACATATATTAAATAAATATATAATATATTAAAAAATTATATATGTATAATATTAAATATTATTAAAAAATTATAAAATATATATAAAATATTAATTTACTATGTATATTAAATATTATATATTATTTAAAAAAATATTACAGCCGCTAAATAACTGTCCCTACATTACACCTGAAATTTAGTTATCATATGTTAAATTTTAGTTATAACAGCTGATATTTTTTAATTGCAGTTTAACGAAGAATTTTGTCCGTTTAACTGTAGCTAAAAAATATTAATTGTAATATAGACACTCGGAATTAAATTTTTGTTATGATGGTTAACATGCATATTTTTCTGTGGTGATATTTTTTTAATTTTAATCGAACGTATCTCATATTTGCGCAACAATTGCGATATCATTTTACGTAGTTTGCGTTATGCGATATTATTTATCGTTTTAATTATTTTATTTCCAACCTATTATCTCCGTTTATCGATTAAAATATATAATTTCTTATTAAACAATAAATTTCGAACTTGCATACTATACTGTATATGCACCGAGATTTCGTAATTTATATTTATAAAGAGGTGAAGTTTGTTTGTTTTATTGTCCGGGATTTTAATCTCAGAAATTACTAAGTTGATTTAAAAAAAAATCCTTCATTTCTTTCTGATAATTTAGATCTTTCTGAGTAATATATAGGTTATAATTCGGCTAATTTTTTAAATAGTAATTAATTTGAACACTGTTATAATTTAGATTTTATATTTACATGTTACAGAGACAACGTAGTTTGAACATCAACCACTTTGCTGTTGTGCATCGGTATGCGTGAGTGAGATAAACTTTTATTTAATTTTGAGGTAACGAATTTATAGATCGTAGTTGTAGATTGTAAATTACAGATTGTAGAGAGATTCGTTACCTTAAAATGGATGGACTAGAATAAATTAGGTCAAATTTACTTATTATTACATCGGACTTTTGATAGACACCTTTAATATTCACATAATTAAAGCATATTGCACATAAAAGTGTAAATTAAAGTATAAATAAAAGAAAGATATATATAAAGAATTTTTTTATCGAGATTTCACTTATTTATTTTATTCAAAGAACGCGCTTGTAATTTTATTAATTCTGATTTGATTTATTGATTGTATTAATTGTAACAACTGCGTTATATATAACTCATTCTTTTAACATTGATTAAACGTTGATTATTCTAATTTTTTGTAGTCTATCTATCTACGTAGTATGACATATAAAAACATTTTACTTTGATTGATGTAAATCCAAGTTATCGATCAATTAAATAATCTTATACAATAAAAATGTTTTTAATGAATTTTATTTTATTATAAAAATTTTATGATAAATAATAATATTAATATATATTATTTTATTTTATAAGTATATATTATTATATTATTATTAGAAAAATATTAATGAAACTAATTTGATCGATAACTCGGCGTTATATTAGTTAAAGCAAAATTTTATTAAATTCAACGATATAAAACAAATGATCGTGATTTCTTACGATCGTATTTGAACATAAAATTATGTTCCTGCACCGGCGATGCTAATTAGCCGGAAATGGAAGGAATTCTCTCCTTCATTGAGATCTTCGGTATAGATCAAAGTATACATTTCTGATTAGATGTAATCAGAATGATTGTGGCCAAAAGGTAAGTTCACTGGCCTAAAAAGTAGTTAATTTAATCGTGTAATACTGTTGTAAAATATGGGTAAACAACGTAAACGCGATATAATCGATCTCATTGTCAGATTATTTGATACTTCACTTCAAAATATCTAGTTTAATGACATATTGTTTAGGACAATAAAATCATAAATAACAGATTAGTGACGAATCATCAATTCTTTAGCGGTATTAAATGCAGTGTTAAATGTAATATTAAGCGCGATTTTCCGTAATTGAATATACACATCATTTATATTTTAATTATGGTAAATGACGTTAAATATTACACGCGCGCAATATTCTCTTCCCGAGTGATTTGCCAGTATTAATTTGTCGGTTTCGTTTATGTATCGTATATCAAGCAATATTATTAATATCTTATTTCATGTTATTATTTTACAATTAAGAAACTCAAAACTTGCTTGATAGAAATAAAATTACTGAAATAAATAAAATTACTTATTAAATAATTTTTTTTAAGAAATTCGAAATTCGCTTGATAAATAAATGAAATTATTTATTATTATTTTTTTAAATTCTCGAGCTTGCGAGTAATGTATAAAACTACTTACGATGATCGCTGAAATCGTCCACGAGAATGATTTCCTTGATCAGATGTTCCGGACTTCTGTTCAATACACTAAAAAAAAAGAGCGAAAAGATTTGTAAGTGCAAATTTAAATATAAAGACTCTCAAATTGAATAATATTATATTATATGCTACAATATTATTTTTAATAATCGTCTTATTTATTAGAAAAAATGTCGAAAATTATAAATCAAACGTGATAAATAGTAGGTACATATAATAATTGTACTTTATTAGAAATTGAGATACGAAGCTTAAACATTAATATTGACATTAAGATTTATTCTTTCAATCTAAACTCTTTCTTCATTACAGTTATTCAATTGAAAAATTTCGATACGCCATTACTTTCTCAGAGTCACTACCATTCATTTCTATATAAACATTTCCAGTCGATTAAGGTCGAATAAAGTGAGGTACCGGATTAAGAGAAGAACAGAAGCTTCGGATTGTCCCATTGAATCTTTTATCAAAGTTTCGAGGACTCTGTGCCTGACCATTTGCCTCTTGTTTGAACGTTCTCGTGTTGCCTCGTCCTATTCTATTCACGAGTTTAATATAAAAGGATTATTGTGTAAATAATGAGGGCTTCTATTTTAGTTCAGATTAATTATTTACTTTAAAAATCATCTTTTTAAGAAAAATATTTTTAATTAAATCCACGGTTTTTCAATTTTAAATCTATCACATCAATAAACTTATTAAATAAATATCGGTGAAATAATAAAAGATTATTATATAATTTCTTTGATCGCAGTGAAATATTGCCTTAATTTTCGTAGAAAATTTGGACAAGTAAAATTGATCGCAAAGAATTAAAATTAATTACATAATTAGTTTTCTAATTTTTAATCTATCACGTCAATAGACTTATTAAATATATTGATAAAATAATAAAATATTATTATATATTTAAAAAGTTTTTTTCAATAGTGCTGAAATATTGTTAATTAACTTTTGTAGAAAATTTGGACAAGACGTGCAATTGATTGCAAAGAATTAAAATTAATTATGTTTAATTAAAATTATCTTTTCGTGAAAAAATTTTAATTAATATATAACACGATTAGTTTGCCATTTTTTTATCTATTACGTTAATAATAAGCTTTTTAATATATCGATAAAATAATTAAATATTATAATATATTTAAAAAAATTTTTTCAATCACACTGAAATATTAGTTAACTTTTGTAAAAAATTTGAATATTTAATTAAAATTTTCTTTTCGTGAAAACTTTTAATTAATAAATAACACGATTAGTTTCCCAATTTTTAATCACGTTAATAATAAGCTTCTTAATATATCGATAAAATAATAAAATATTATAATATATTTAAAAAAATTTTTTCAATTACACTGAAATATTAGTTAACTTTTGTAAAAAATTTGGATATTTAATTAAAATTTTCTTTTCGTGAAAACTTTTAATTAATAAATAACACGATTAGTTTCCCAATTTTTAATCACGTTAATAATAAGCTTCTTAATATATCGATAAAATATTATTATATATTTTAAAAAATATTTCAATCGCACTGAAATACTAGTTAACTTTTGTAGAAAATTTGGACGAGTCGTGAAATTGATCGCGAAGAATTTGAAGATGCGGTCTCGCCGCGCTAATTAAGACTTCCTTTTAATTTCATCGACCGGGGCGATAGAACCGATATATTTCCCTGACGCTGCGCGCCACGCGTTACAGACTTAAATAAATTTTCCGACTCTTGGCTGCTTCCTTCTTTCGGTACGGCGGTGAGAACTTTGAGTAACTTTTGCACGGAGGCTATATATACCTCCGACGAGAAATGTGGCTCGTACTTTTCTTCGCTTCGGAGTGGGGCGACGCCCCGTAGCGAAGACGTTTTAATTAATACGAGAACACTTATGACACTTATGAGAAATAGTAATGATTTATATCTCAAGATGAGATATGTTTCCGAATAGAGGGATAATCTAAAAAAATATATATATGTTGAAGTAATCCAGAAAATATCAAAATGCATTCATGTTGTACTTTGAATTAAATAAAATTAAAAATAAAACCTTTTCTAAATAGAAAATTTTTAAAATTAAATAAAAATAAATAAAATTTGAAAATCTATGTATTGAGAAAATTAAAAAAAAAAAACAAATATTTTAAGGGAATATTTATATAATTAATTTTTCAATCAATTACTTTTTTCTTTGATCGGTTTAGCAATTTATACTTTCCATATAAATAAAAATGAAGAGAATTTGTATATTTTCATATTTGACAAAGGTCTTTTCGGTTCTTTGGTTCGCATTTGTTGTACTTTGAATTAAATAAAATTAAAAATAAAACTTTTTCTAAATAGAAAATTTAAAAAATTAAATAAAAATAAATAAAATTTGAAAATCTGTGTATTGAGAGAAAATTAAAAAAAACAAATATTTTAAGGGAATATTTATATAATTAATTTTTCAATCAATTACTTTTTTCTTTGATCAGTTTAGCAATTTATACTTTCCATATAAATAAAAATGAAGAGAATTTGTATATTTTCATATTTGACAAAGGTCTTTTCGGTTCTTTGGTTCGCATTCATATATAATACATACATACATACATATGTACGAGCGCATAATAAAGTGTGAGGTATATAAAACGATGGAATGACGATTAAAAAATTCCATCGCATGCCGTCACCCAATTCCGGCTTGAATTGGGAATCTTCGCGCGTTTCAACCACAACTCGTTGATCGCATCGAGAATTGAAGATTGCCGTGCCCCATATCTATATATCATCCACGATCACGTGAGAATTTGTCCATTCGCAATTATTTTGTGTTTGAGAATTTAATCTACGAGCAAAAATGTGTTTATGCACAGTTGAAAAATTTCTGTTAAATTTAACAGATATTACATGTCCCAAACGGTCCACAGAAATTTTTGTGTTAATTTAACATAATATGGATATGTTAAATGGAGACACAAAAATTGTGTTAATATTTTAACACAAAATAAATGCAAAACTTCAAATAATTTCAAATAAATTTTGTGTAAAATTAACATACTTTTAATGTAAAAATTAACAAAAAATATGTTGATTTTAGATTTTATCATTCCCACTTATAAAATAGAAAATCAACATTTTTTCTGTAAATTTTAACAGATAAATCTTCTCACTAATAAAGCAGAATATATTTATTGTGTAAAATTAAAAAATAGATGACATTGTGTTATTTTTACATTTTTGTTCAGTTGTTTTAATCATTTAACATTTAAGTTCAATTAACAGAACAGTAATATAATATATTAAATTAACACATGAATGTGTTAAATATTTAATACAAAAATTTTAACGGGGACCGTTTTTAACAAAAAGAAACAAATTTTTCTACTGTGTACACATATTAAATCCATACTTTATTTTGCGGAATGTACAAAATTCTTTAATTTCCACGTTGTTTCTCATCTTTGATACTATTTAATTTTTTAAATACATATTTAAAAAATTTAAAAAAGAAATAAATGGACAGCTAACTTTTGTCAAAGTTTATATACAAAGCGTAATTGTATAACATAGAAAGTATCAAACTAAGAAGATCCATGTATTTAAATTTGAAGTGTAACTGCATTTGCATTTTATGTAAAACAAAATTGTTTCAAACTTACCTGACGACGGTTCTGAGTAGTGTAGACCGTGCTTCATTGTGGAAAGTAATTATAACGGAAGTCGGTGGCAAATCCTGTCTCCATTGTTTCATTCTACACCTGTAGCAAGAAAATAGCATAATTATGAAGTTGCCAAGAAATCTGAAACGTGTTAGTGGTTTCAATGAAAATCAAGGTTAGCGGGTAAAATATTCTGGTAATGCTTTTCCCTCTGTCGCATCTGTATCTATTATTCGCAGATGCAGATCATTAATATTATGCCTTATTGAACTATAACCGCGAACAAATAAAAACGATAAAATTGTTTTAACAAAATTTAATGAATTTAAATTAAATAGAAACTGCTATGGTATAATGGAATCGAACGCTAAATACATGATAAAATCAGGATCATGAATTATTATAATATTATGCGAAGTATAATAAATTTTTCTATACAGGTATTTAATTTAATATTGTTTTTAAATTGCTTCGTATATTCATTGCTTTTATCGAAGTTATCTACATGCTAATGTTTTTATCAAATTTTTTATTATTCTTCAAAAATTGTTATTTGATCTTCTAGTGATGATAGATGACATAGTGCTAGTTTTTTCCAATATTAGTTGTTCGAACAATTCACTGAGTTATCAGTCAAATATCGATTGATTATTATTATTTATAAATTCAAATTAAAATATTTTTTTATATTCTAGATCCGCTCTTCGCCAATAAACATTTTTTTTTATTTAGAAAATATTTATTTTAAATTGCTTAGTATATTCATTGCTTTTATCAAAGTTATCTACATGCTAATGTTTCTATCAAATTTTTTATTATTCTTCAAAAATTGTTATTTGATCTTCTAGTGATGATAGATGACATAGTGCTAGTTTTTTCCAATATTAGTTGTTCAATCAATTCAATGAGTTATCAGTCAAATATCGACTGATTATTATTTATAAATTCAAATTAAAATATTTTTATATTCTAGATCCGCTCTTCGCCAATAAACATTTTTTTTATTTAGAAAATATTTATTTTAAATTGCTTAATATATTCATTGCTTTTATCAAAGTTATCTACATGCTAATGTATTTATCAAATTTTTATTATTCTTTAAAAATTGTTATTTGTGATCTTTTAGTGATGATAGATGACATAGTGCTATTTTTTCAATATTAGTTGTTCAATCAATTCAATGAGTTATCAGTCAAATATCGACTGATTATTATTATTTATAAATTCAAATTAAAATATTTTTATATTCTAGATCCGCTCTTCGCTAATAAATTCTTTTAGAAAATATTTAGGCTAAATCTATAAAACTATATTTTTGTTGCATTTTGATATTTCTATTTCGATTTTTCTTAATAGCGATTTTGTACAGTAAATGCAAATCCTTGATTTAGTTATTACGATCGATGAATAATATGGAAATATATTTTCGGAATTCTCGGAGGAGAGTTTTTTACAGACTTCACTCTTTTTATTACGATTTCAAGACTTTTATGACGTTTGCCGGGAGAAATATAGTATTCAATATTTGGCGAGTCTTTCTCGTTGCAACATAAATATGCTCGTAAATGAGAAACAAAATGCGTTAAAACTGTCGCATAAATTCGACTCGACCATCCGCGTATAACGGCGTGAATTTTTGCGCCATATTCATAAATTCGTGCTAGCGCTTCACTAAAGACGCGCTTGAAAATTGTATTAGCCATTGCCTCGTATAGATATAGATGCAAATTGCCGGTAGCCGGAGACGTCGATATAAATTCTAAATCCCTCTCTCGTATTTCGCAATTCACTTTCTGTTAGTCCATCTCTCTAAATTCTTCTTCCTTTCAAAACGCATTTCTTATTTTTTTTTAAATAATATAAAAGTTTGATAAAAAAATAAACAAGTAAAAGCTGAGTGTTTACGACGACCCTGCATTTTAATTTATGCAAAACAATTTATGCAGCACGGTAGAAAATATAGTCTCTTTCTCTCTCCTCTTTCTTCCGAGAGATTGTTTTAATTTCAAACTAATCGTTAAGAAAACTTTATTTATTTTTTAATATTTATAATTTCAATCTAATCATTAAGAAATTTTATTAATTTAATTTTTTAATATAAAAAATAACATACCATAAAACACATTTATAAAAAATATTGCTCAATTAAAGCTTTTTTTAATAATGCCCGCATTTAAAAAAAAATTAATTTTATATTTGATAATTTTTTTCGACTTGCTTTGGATTTTTAATATTTTCCTTTTTACGTTCGCTGTAAAAAAATTTGAATAAATTTTGTCATAAGCATTTATAATTTTTAAATAATAATCGCACTTAGGGATGCTTATAATGAAACTGATTGTTGACTTTTTTGATTATTTTTAATTTTTATTTGCAAGGTGGACAAAAGACAATTATTTATGATCAAATGTAGATAAATAATAGGCAATCGAAATACATATATAATTAAAAAAAAAAAACGTATCTAAGGGTAGCTCATGATAAAATTTATTCCTTTTTTATTCTTATTTTTTTTTTTTTGCAAAGTGAACAAAAACAAATTATAGATAATCAAATGCCATATAAATTTTGTAAAAATTCCCGTTTTGGAGTGCCAACTTCACAGATCTCAAAAGGGGAAACATGGAGAGAAAAGTTGGAATAATCATATTTCTTTGATGCGTCGCGTTTTCAGATGCTTGACGCGAAGCGGGAAGTGCCTAACCACCAGAAGTGGTGCTTAAGAATCCGAGGAAAACGGGAGAAGCTAGAGAGAAAGAGAAAGAGAAGATGCCCGTACTTATACGGCATCGGGGCACCGAGTCGGCGCAGAGAGGGCCACATAAATGCGGCCAGACGATCCCAATATGTCAGCCCCTCTTTGCCAAGATAAACTCGCGGGACGTGCACCGAATACCGTAGGTGCATAGATCCGCGCGCGAATGCACTTTTTCGCGCCGACGCGCGCGTCAAACGAGATCGCGAAAGTTTCTCGCCAGCTGCCGGCGTCTCGTATGCGAGACGTCGCCGCCAAATAAGGGGATGACCGGGTGAACGCGCGTGATTGCGATTTATCTAACTCGGATTCTGAGGCTTCTCAAACGTCAGCATAATGACAGACTGTCATTTATCCGTGCTTCTCTGAAGTCCACTTTACACGATCTATATTCGCGACAAAATTAGAAATAAAAATTTTTTATTTCTATAATTAGGAATTGCATCTCAGAAAATTAAGGATATTTTTCGAAGTTTTATATTTATTTGAAAAAATACATATTTTGTGCATTTAAAGGATTTTAGATAAATTAAATAATTTTAGATTTCTATAATGAGAAATGGTTTTGGATTTTTTAGATTTAATTTCTAATTAAATAATTTTATAATTCTATACATTTTTATAGAAAATATGATATCCCAACACTTGTAGAACATATTTATTTGCTTTTTTATGTATAAATATATTAAACTCACTTTACACGATCTATATTCGCGACAAAATTCGAGACAAAATTAGAAATCTAAATTTTTTATTTCTATAATTAGGAATTGCATCTAAGAAATTTAAGGATATTTTTCGAAGTTTTATATTTATTTTAAAAAATACATATTTTGCATTTAAATGATTTTAGATGAATTAAATAATTTTAGATTTCTACAATAAAATGATTTTAGATTTCTTAGATTTAATTTCTAATTAAATAATTTTATAATTCTACAACATTTTTATAGAAAATGTGATACCCCAACACTTGTAGAACACATTTAATTGTTTTTTTTACACGATTTATAATTCGCGACAAAATTCGAGACAAAATTAGAAATCAAAATTTTTTTATTTCTATAATTAGGAATTATATCTAAGAAATTTAAAGATATTTTTCGAAGTTTTATTTAAAAAAATATATATATTTTGCATTTAAATTATTTTAGATGAATTAACTATACACGGATATTGATATTTAAAAATATATAACTTTAGCTTAAAATGTAATTTGTCATGATTTAAAATTTTGTATTATTTTGTAATTCATTTATATTTTGTGTTCGAATTTAACAAATTTATGTGCTATTTTTAGGAGACTGACATTTTTTTAAAAATATTTTTGCTGGAATTTTTTTATTATAATTATATATATTGATAATTAAATAAGTAATTTTAATGAATCAGAATGATTTTACAATAGCCTTTAAAAAATTGAGAACGAGGTATACGATATTAAAAACTTACTGCGCCCAATATATATCGGAAATTAAATTTTTTTATATTTCCACTTAAAACAATTTTTAGTATTAATATTTTGCTTCTAACAAATATTTTATCTCCGAAAAAAAATCTGGCCAAATATAAAAATATCTAAAAATTATTTTTATCCACTAAATTATTCGTTAATCTTACAGAGCTCATATTAGTAATTCTTTCGTGACTTATTGTTAATGAATCGTACAATTACTTATAATCCAATAACCAATATATATTAATCAGAGATTCGTATCGTTTTGTATAATCAGAAATTAAAGTCTGATTCATTATTACACTTTTATCGGCGCGTTGTTTATCGGGCAGCTTTAACGGCTTTAACGAACAAGTTCGGTAATGAGTAATTTAGATGCTCATTAGCGCGCTTCTAGACGCTTCGTCTGTTCCTCGCGGCGCAAGAATCGACAAATTAATTCCGGGCGACCATAATTCCGCATTAAAGCCAGACTAGTCTTTACGACGACATGTTTATCGACAACGAAATTGCGCGAGCCTTAAAGCGACTCCCGACTAGCTGAGACGGATCATCCGGGCGCGGTTTAATTCGAAATTTCAATTTAGGATCCGCTTCCGCACCCCTATATCCGCCAAAGTGGATAATGCGCGGCCAGCCTGCACGATTCCATTGGACGCTCGATCGCGTGTACAACGTTTCACGTGTATATACATATATACATGTGCATTGCATACTCGGATTGATCATTTTGCTAGAGAATATATCCTACGGGAGAGAAAGAGAGAGAGAGAATGAGAAGAGAAATTGGGTGCAGCTATGAAAGCAGGTCGATACAATTTATCAAAAGAACCTACAGTCCGGTAAAATTAGACTTTGACTTCATAAAAATTAGGCGCAAGCTGAATTTTTGTGGAGACCTTTTCGATGT